GCCCCGCGTCCGCCCCCGGCCCTCGAACACCTGCACCTACCAGGGACAGCTCCCGAGCCCGGACTCGGGGAGGCAGCCCGGGGCCCCGGGGACGCTTCTTGCTTACTGAGCCTTCTGGTTGCTTCGAAGGGAGGCGGCCCCGGGAAGGCGAGTTTCTTTGTTGTGGGAATGGGTGTCGCTGGGAGCAGATACACCCTTAAAGACCATGTGGGCAGCCCGAGCATTACAACACAGGAGAAGGGGAGGGAGGGAGCGTGCATTGGTCAGGCCGCTCAGTGCTGTCAGCCAGCGCAGCTGTTTCTTAAGCACCTACTGGGTGCCATTGTCTCCACGATACGATGTTATTTCCACTTCCGTCCCTTCTTGCCCTCTTCGAGCACCAGAAAGGTGGCCGGGTCCTCAGGGATTTCAGGCAGTAAAAGAAGATTCTGAGTGGCTTGCGCTCAAACCCAGGGATATTATTGCAAAGCCCCGAGCCTTAGATCTTGCAGTGGGATAATAGTGTACAGAATGACAGTCATGAAAGTAGCATGTATTCAGTCCTTACCGGGCACTGTTCCCAGTGTTCTGGTGCACTCTTTTGCATCTTATGACAACTCCCAGAGCTGGGAAGCATTGTGGTTCCCAGTTTACGCACAGGGAAACTGAGGTACAGCTGGTCACGGTTTGAGACTATTATTCAATAGTCTGGTGGAAAACGCAGGCAGCAAATAAATACTGTAATAAAGCACATGTTACGGACCTCCAAGAAGTCGAGGTTGCCAGTGGATGGCCTCCACGCAGTTACTCTAAAGTCTAACTCACACCATCTTACCTCATCTTCCCTCCTCCTCGACCTCAGCGGCAGACACAATGTTTCTTACTCCTTCCACCAATAGGAAACAGACACAGCAACTTGCTGAGGATACATAGCTACCAGCAGGGGAGACGGGTTTCCATCTTCAAAACCAGAATTCCTCCAGTTGCGCTCACTCATCCGCTCCAGATTGGTCTCCTTCCTCCACAGGCTACCTAAGGGTGGGTCATGCATTCTGGCATGTTTCTGTGTGCTTCCTGCTCTTTCACTTGGAAAACAGCAGGTCACCTATGGTATCAGAGCCCACCTTGTCAGGTTCCTATTTGCAGACAAAGGTAACCAGCGATTGCTTTGGTCTTGTTCATTCCTGGCTTCACTAAACTCTTCTTTCCAAAATTTTTATAATGCTTGGCTCCAGATACTTGCATTCCAGAGACCCTGTGGCTGGCACAGCCACCCTCACTACTGAACGCCAAGGGAGGTGGGCACACATGACCTGCCTCCTATGGGCTCTCATGGCCCTGCGTCGACTTTCCAGTGTCTTGTGTCCAGGCCCCAAGTCCAGTCATACCTTGGTATCCCTTCCTAGCCGCAAATGCCAATGTCCTTCCACTCCAAGCTTTCCAGAATTCACCCCAACCCAGCAACAGACTCCATTGATCTTCAGACTAACCCAAACCCCTGAACTCCCAAAAGCTGATGCCTCCATTTGTTTCCTGACCAATGCCAGTCCTAGTGTTTTGGGTGTTGCATTGTAAAGGGACAGGGTGGGTTCCTATCCTAGTACAGTAAACAAATGAATGAACCCAGCCCAGCCTCCTGTCAGGCGCCGCAGTTCTGTGCCACTCTTGCACCAACCTCTTCCATTGCCCGCTGCTCTTCCAGCCTCAGCTGAGTAGCCGTGAGCTGAATTGGGCTCAGGACCTTGACAGAGCTATGCTGAACCCTTGGGGCCTTTGTGGGTCCTGATCCAGGGAGGAAGGGCTGAGCTGAGCTGAGCAGAGAGCACAGCTGGGAACCTCCCTTCTGGGATGGACTGGAAATTGCCCTTCTCCACAGTGAGAGGCCAGCTGGAGGAGTCTCCTGCCAGCTGGCACGGGTGGGGGAAGGGACAGGAAATAGGTAGCCAAGCACCTTCCCAGTCTTCATATGACAGGAGCCACTGGCATTTACACTGTGGAGCCTCTGGATGCCCCACAAAGGAGAGGCTGAGCCCCAGAGGCTATGGATCCCCACTCGGCCTGGCCAGACTGAAGAGATTAACAACTCTAAAGAAAGTTGGAGGAAGGGGCTCAGCCATCCCCGGAAGCACCCTGAGGCTATTAGTGACAACCCAGCCCAGGGTTGGCCCAGAAGCAGCATCCTTGCCAGGGAACTGGATGAGGCCACAGAATCCATTCCAGTGTTCCCAACAGGGCCAGCCCTGGTGTTCCCAGGGGCACTGCAGCCACCCAGCCTGGTGCCACCAACCCTGCTTTGCTCTCCCGATTCCTCTTCCCAAATGTCAGGTTCACCTCGTGACCAGCTGGCAGGGTTTCAGTTGCTGGGATCCTGCGCTCACTGCGACTGACTGCTGTTCGTGCCATGCTGGTTCCAGGCTGGGGGCAGGTTGTTTCTCTCAGTGAAGAGGTATTTAGCTTTTGGATTCTCTATGTTTCCCAACACCCTCCCCAGACCCCACCTCTACCCCAAAGTAACACTGCTCTCCCATCAAGGGGTGCGTACCTGGACATTCTAGCGACCCTCTGGATGATTGGCTGGCTTCCTGGCCAGACATCTGAGTATCACTAACTGTCCATACCATCTTTCCCCTCTACCTGCTCCTCAACTGCTACCTTCTTTTGATAGATGAGAAAATGGTCTGTGACATGTCCAGTGCATACTGAGGTCCCCAGTCAGCAGCAGCAAACATCTGTGTCGGCAGGGCTTGACGTGAGTCTGACCCAGGTTTGAATCCCTAGTGTGCAATTTACTAGCTGCATGCTTTTGGGCAAATGATATTGCCTATTTGCCGTTCCCTCTACTCTGTAAGGCACCAGTTGTGGGACCTGCCTACCTAATCTCATCGGTAGCTTCATGATCATGTATAGGGCTGGGTCTGTAGCTCAGCAGCAGTGTGCTTGCCTACCATGTGCACAGCTGTGGGTTGCATCCCCAGCATCACACACACACACACACACACACACACACACACCCCAAAGTGGGGGAAGAGGAGGAGAGAAGAAGGGAGAGGGAGAGAGAGAATAATTTCTGTACTTAAGATGTCCAAATGTGTCTGCAGCCCGGACTTCTCTGAACTTCAGACACTACCATGTGGATATTTAATAGGCATGTCAACTACAGCGCAGCTAAAATTGAACCAGGCACACCCAAAAGCAAGCCCCTCCTCCTGCAAACTACTGCTTCTCAGACAGATGTTCCTCCTGTCACCCAGCTCCAATACCTCACTCGCTTCTCCATTCACAGCAGTCAGGCCTTTTCTCCTCAGCACATATCACTACCCCTATCCTGCGTCTTTGACTTATTTGTGGTCCTACCAGCTGCCTATTTTCTAGCCCCATAGGCTGCTCCAGAGAGGGGCTTTGTGTATCTTGTTTACTGTGGTCTCTCCAGCTTCTAGAACGGCCCCTTGGGTACCAGTGGAGAGTCTCGATTCATATTCAGGGAAATAGGAGAGGGAGGGAGGGAGGAGACAGAGAGAGGGGAGGGGACAGGAGGGACCCTGCTAACCTTCCTGGATTGCTGCAAGGATGAGAGGAGCTGTAAGGGGCTCACTAATACTCCTCCCAGCCCTGGGGACCGGAGCTTGTTCAGTCAGTGGGGATTCTCTGCCACCCACCCCGCAAATTGTGTAGCTTTTCAAGGTGCCCTGGGATTCGGGTGTGAGGTACTTACCTGTGGCATTCAGGTGGGTTCTAGGTTAAGTCCTGTGGCACCAATGGATGTACTCTTAGGGGTTCCCATCACACACCCCATTAAACCCGGCTCTAACCAGCCCTGTTCTTTCTCACTCACACCTGCAAGTAAACAAAGAGGAAGGGACCACCTTAATCCATTTTCTGTTGCTGTAACACAATACCCAAGTGCCAGGAAATTCATGAAGAATAGAGTTCATCGGCTCGCAGTTCTGGAGTCTGAGAAGTTCAAGACTGTGGCACAGGCATTTGGTGACGGTCATCCCATGACAAGACAGAGCAAGT